CGATTGGGACGAGCAACATGATACAATGTTGCCGGATAGAAATCCAGTTGTAGTAGCAACTATGTATATGAACACATCACCACACAAACAAAAGGTATGACAGACAAAAAACACTTAAAAATACTCAACTTCCAAAATCCAAGCATTCAAGGCATATCCGTGAAATTATCATCATAAAAGCCGCATATTTTTCCCGGCACTGCGGGTGAATTTTCCCCTCATGGCGTTAACTAAATAAAGATAAAAGATGAATATGAACGAATTACGTAAAATTCCAACTGTTACTGTGTGATACACTGATTACAGGGAGGAGCTGAACTTTCATGGCCGAACTCTACATGACGATTGCCGAAATTTGTAAGAAAGCAGTACGTTGAAACCCGGGTTCTGAAAATCCCTACAGCGGGTCGAGAATTTCCCTTACCGGCAGAGCGCGCGAATCTAGTTTTGAAGCATAATTTTTCCCACTTGCAATAGGGCAGTGTAAGAAATTGGTCTGTGACAATTAAAGCTCGGAAATATAGTTTTTTTCTTTCGGGAAAATAATTGATGCCAGAATATATTTTCTATTTAGCATAAGTCATGCAATGAATTTTGGGAAGGCATGAGGTAAATTACTTTATCATTTGTAACTGTAATAACATATATGTGACACGAAATCAGATGTGATACGAATAGTGTTAATGTAAAGATTTTAATTCTATATAAATCTACTTTTGAAAATAATTTTACAATGAGGTAATCTTAAAATCAAATATGCACTTAATGCCTCGTAATGTTAGTTTATTTTGATACACACAGACGAACAAATATAAGGTATATACTTACTTATATAAAATTGCATTTTATACTAAATAATAAACACAGATAACACTGATGTAATACCAGTGAATAAACAGATAAGTCTGGTTGATATCACATCCAATGGCAATAAAAGAAATCTGTTATTATTGCTAAAAATATATGCATTATGTACGGTAATTATTATTCCATAAATGAAATACATATAAAAAGGGTATAATACATATAAAGAAACATCTTTCATAATTATCCTAATATATATATAGAAATTAGCAATCAGATGCACTACCTAAACATTATGAATAACAAGTAATAATGATATTTATATAAATTATTAAGAAGAATTTTATTGTTACATAGGTTTATTTAACTAATTCATAATTTATTCCAAGTACATGAAAAAAGCAAAGACTATAAAACACTAAAAAGATAAAAAACTGCTAAGAATCATATGCACTTTTCTTGAAACACTTGATTCGTTGCAATGATAAGCAATGCACTTATAATTTGAAAGATAAGTTGAAGCGTAATGCGAAATAAAGTGTAATATGAATTAAATAAAGCGTACAGTGAGTTACAGCGTAATTTGAAATAATTAAGCATAAGATGAAAGCGTAATGAAAGATCAATTAAAGCGTAGGTGAAAAAATGCAAAAAATTGTAAGATAAGCATATAAAAACTTTAAACGGAAAATAAAAAAAGGAATAATAAACAGAAAGAACATTTGTTATATATACGTACTTAAAATGCTGAATGAAAGCTTAAATGAAACTTTTTGCTAAATTCTTAAATTTAATACATTTAAACAATGATTCACGGAATTCCTGTATTAAATAATAACAAATGTACATATTTTATTTCCATTTTATACAATACAACTAGGTAATTTTAAACTAAACGCGGTGTTCTAGTAGAATTTGTCAATATAATATTTTCTTGAGATTTTTTCAGAGAATATTTTCCCCCGAAATTCCCTTTAAGGAGAAAAATTCCCCGTTAGATGTCTCTCGAGCGGTTACATGAATGAAATTTCTTGTAGTCATGGGTTGTGGAAGATGAAGAGTAAATAATATAAGTATTATGAATGTGAGCATGAATAACGTCTTATTTTGGCAAATATGTCCTATATTTGAGGTTTAGGTAATTTTAAAGTAAATATTCAGTAATTAGCAGCCGTATTTATATAGTATGTTTCAGCATATTTTCCGCTTACCGTGTAAGAGTTAGTGAACAGCAAATCAGTATAATATTTATTCATAAAATTGTTAAAGACGAAAACAAAAACATCCATACAAGATCAATGCTCAGTTCCATTATAGAAAGGTAATGAACATTAATTATGATTTGAAAATTAATTTTAAAAGTGAATATTTTATTTTATTTATTTTGAAACTAGTTTACAAATTATAATTTGAATAAAAGTTCAAGACTGCTTATAATAAGCTAAGAATTCTAATTAAATATTCGGCATGTTATTTAATTCTTATTAAGATTGCAGCTATGTTTTATGCTAATTAGAGAATGATAGCACAAGAAAGAAAGCGTTTTAATAGACGAAATGCTGATTTTTCGATTTCGGCAGTTTTGCAAATGTTCTAATAATTTGTTTTTAAAATAAACTGAATTCTAATGTTAGTTACTAAGGAATTTATTGCTTTGAAGTTATTTAATTGTATTTTCCGAGAACTGTATAATGCTAGCGCCTACCATTATTTAGTAAAATTATATACCACGAAGAAGTTTAAGATCTCATTCATTAAATATTCGCAACATAAAAACGCAAGTTACTCCTTTTCTGTTTCGAAAACACCTAAAGCCATCATTGCCATTTTTTGAGTCATGTTACATTAGATAACCTAACGTTATTATATAAAAAATCGGCATGCACTCCGATCTTTTACGCAACCTGGAAAATTGCTAATATGAACAGTTACTGCCGTTTCGCAATGATCATACTATGTATAATACTATGTTAAAGTACGTATGATTTCAAAGATAACGATAATATGTATTGAAACGATAACAGTGCATTTCTTATAAAGCAACTATACTGTTTTAAAAATAATGTAAATTCTTTTTAATAATATTATCAACATATATACATAACAGCTAATTCTTGATTTTGCAAACTCTTACAGATAGCAAAAATAGTTTGTAAAATTAAATCATAAACTTCTGCTTTCAGAAATACCATAAAATTTATATAATCACTAGTTCGTTAACATCCAGTTTACGTTTTTAAAGATTGGAGTTTATAAGAAAATTAGAATTTCGTAAAGAAAAGAGTATGTAGTATTAGAATGAAAGACTTCTATCATGCTATATATTACATAATTTCCACATTTGCGATAGCTTAAATTAGTTAAATGTATCATTCAAAATATTTCAATATTTAAGATAATAGATAATTATACTGAAATAATTATATAAAAATTAACAATTATGTTAAAATTATTCTAAATCTAGTTTTAATAGGCAATTGCGTAATAACCAACTCGCAACAAATTAATATTTAAATAATAAGTAAGTATACTAAAACAATTATATTAATATTATTCTAATTTTAATAATCAACTAGAGGGCAAGCCTGCCAGATGAGCGGGCTGCGGCCAAAGACTGCGCTAAAGAAAAATTTATAAGTTCTACTCCAAAAGAAATTTTACGTACCTATGTTTAGAAAAGACGGATGGCAATTTTAAAATTCCGCTTCGTAAGCAGCACGCCGAACAGCAATGAAGTTCAGCGAACAGCAATGAAGTTTCTAGACTGCGAAAATTAGCGTTTTAGGAGTTTTTAAAGAATATTTCGGCTTTACCGTACGATGGGTACTTCACTCGGAACTCAACTCCCCGCCGGATATGATGTTACAAACAAACAAACAGACGCATGCGCACAGATTTTAATAATATTAACTAGAGTGGCTGCAACCAAAGCAAAATTTAGAAGTTCTATTCCGTAAAAAATTTTATTCTACCTCTGTTTAGAAAAGACGGGTAGTAATTTTAAAATTCCACCTCGTACGCGCTTCGACGCAGCACGCCGAACAACAATGAAATTAGCGAAACAAGTTCACTTGCAGGGTGCAAAAATTAACGTTTTCAGAGTTTTTGATTAATATCTAGGCTGATTAAAGTAGTACGAAGTTAAGAATAGTCAAAACGGCTTCGCAAACAAACAGACAGACGCTCACAGATTTCAATAGTATTAATTGGCTAACAATCAATTATTAACAAATTAATATTTAAAATAATAGGTAATTATACTGAAATAATTATATTTAAATTATTCTAAATCTAATTTTAATAGACAATTGCCTAAAAATAAACTGGCGAGAAATTAATATAATGCCAAGCAGCGTAACTATTATCAAATTGGGATGCGATTAGTAAATTAACACAGCAATGAAATAAAATAAAAATGACAGCACTGAATTGGTTTATTTTAAGATCTGGTGAAAATGAATAAGTCATTTAAAGGAAGCCGCACTAATGTATTATGTTTAGTTATCTATTTTTTGATCTTCAAATTAGAGAGTTTAAGTTTACATATCACCCACACAAATCTGATTATTTCACTAATAATAGCAATGCTTGAGCGTCCTCATATGCTCTTAATTACTAAGCCGAATTATGTATTGTAGTTGACGGATTAAGGTTACAGTTACGGCGAAAGGAAGCACTTTGCTTGCGAAGAAAGTGTAAGTGATTATTAAACGAAAAAGTTCAGAAAAAAAAATATTCGTCTGCGACCCAGTTTAAACTGTTTACACATGGCAAAGGTCATGTAGGGCAAGGAAAGCAGATATCCCTGGAATTATTTTTCACACATATTCTTAGTCGGTTCGCAGCGCAGTGCAACAAAGTGCGATAAAAAATAGCGATGAATGAGTTAAAAAAATAAATAACACGGTTAAAAGCAAAGATGAGCCTCGACGTAAGATGGACATGTACTTCATTACTCAGCTGTAGTAATTCTTTTTTCTTTCAGGAATGAAACCAAATATTCCTCGTATGATGACACAGAAAAAGAAAAGAAAATGAATTTAAGTGTTATATTATATAACAAAAAACAATTCATTTTATAACAAACGATTTCTACTTTAAGATGCAGATATGTGCCATATCTGCAATATTTTGACAAATCAGTGAGGTTTTACAGGCCAAATAAAAAAAAAAAAAAGTACTCTGGAATGAAATACCTTTGATGCTAACCGCAACCGTTTTCTTAAGACCTTCTCCAATACCGTTGCTGACTTGGCATTGGTAAAGTCCAGAGTCGTCATTCTGCACGTTGAGGATAGTCAAGGAACCGTTGTTTTCCAGTCTTATATGTTGGCTGTTAGTGAGATGAATCCATTGGTCGGGAGCAGATTCTGTTGACAGATATAGAAAAATAAATATTTAAAACTGAATGAGTATAAATGTTGAATATTAATACAATTCTTCATTCAACCATTTTCCATTTATCTATATCGAAAGGAGTAAGCATTTCACTATATCCAGGAGACATTTAAAGGCCTAAATTTTTATGCGGAATTGTTTACAGATAACAAAAATCCTGATAGCTAATAAATTGCTCGGGAAATCCACAATTTTCACTCCTCCGCCCTTAATATGAAGGCAGCGGCAATTAACACAGAAATATATTATTGTAGAAAAATGTCTGTTTAATAAAAGCTTAGGCGAAAACTGTGATTTATTTTAAAGAAATTTCATATTTGTTTTACGACAAAGAAGAAGTCGCATTCCCCATACATTTTCTGAACAACTTTTAAATCTGGACAGGTTGTATCCATTGAATCAACTTAAAAGACCGTTTAAATAATAAAAATAATGCTTAATGTATTTTGTTTAATAACTTTTCTTTAAATTACATCGTTTATTTTCCTATCAGACTGCAAAAGAAATCCAGTTACAATAAGAACTCAGCGAGGATTTGCAGAATGTAATTTCATATATAGGCGTTATCTTAACTATTTATTTAAGTTATTTAAATAAGTAGCCTTTAAGTCACCTTCTAACCAACTTACCTCGGAACCACAAGTCAAACATTATATTATGCATGTAGAGTCATTACGACTTTTTGAAGCAGGAAACATAAAAAGTGGGCAGTGCCATGCCGGAATTCGAACTCCGGACCTCCCAACTGCTAGCCTAATTAATGCTTCCAATTACACCACGAAGGCACGTGATCAACAGACAGAAAATACCTTACATGCACAGCAAAAATTTAGGAATATATCTTCGGTTGATAAACAGCGATTATCTGAAGATTGTTGTGGTGTTAATTTCAAATAATAGTTTTAAATAATTTTGCAAAAAGAACAACACCAAGACCAAAAATAAGATAATACAAAGAAATGCCAATTGATGTTTGGAATATACTTTTAGATAAAATATTTATAGGCTTAAATTTTAAAACTTAAAGTGCAGCAAATTAATGACGTTCATGGACAGAAGTTCATCAAAGTCAGTTTCCAGTGATGCTGCTCATATTTACGTACCCAGCCGGAAATTTGAGATTAATAATAATAAATGTATATTAACCTAGATGCGGGAGCTTTCCATCCGGACCTCTAACACCAATTCGCCTTTATTTATTTAAATAACATGAAAAGATAATACAGCTGAATGTGCATGTTAGGAAACTGTTAAAGTAATTTAGAAGAATGTGTGAGATAAATGACGAAAGAAGGGGATATCTAATGTCTAATAAGGGATAAGCAGGTATGCATGCTGCATCTTTCACTATCTAGAGATACCAACACCTCCCATGCCGCTAAAAACACTCTGACGGGAACAAATTAATAATAGATTCAGTTTTAATATACATGAGTGTAGAGGTGGGACAGATTCTGCTCCATTTGCATTACATAGATTTTTACGTTTGCAGACTAATGTCCAATAGTATACGTATGACAATAAGATGTATACATACAATGTATACAGTATATAACATATATATATAGTGTTGCGAAATGTACAGGCGCGGTAAGATGGCTTCCCCGCAAAGCAGTTTTAGGGTTACCATAAAATTGCATAAAGGCAAGGTTGCCACATTTGGCGAGAAATCGCCCGTTTGGCGATATCTGGCCACAAATGCCATGGAAGGATGGAGAACCTTCTGGAACGAATTCTTACCGGTTAGCCCAGAATGTTTTCGAACACAAGCCGAAAACTATATAAACCCTGCTGGTCCGCAGTCAGTTAGAGTGTGTATGCCTCGTCGAGAGGGCGAGTGAGAGTGCCTCGTAAAGTGCGAGAGAGTTAGTATCGAGTGGGTGTCTCGTCTAGCGAGTCAATCCCTGCGGAGTCGATCCCTGTGGAGTCGATCGAGTTGAGAGCCGGTCAGCGAGTGCCGAGTGGGTCGTCGAGTGCACCGAAGAGTCTCTTAGTGTATCGCGGTTAGTGCATCGTCGAGAGAGACTTTTGAGCTCCGGGAACGACTGAACCGAAGAGTCGGGAGCCGTGATCTGTGTGTCGTCGAGTGCATCGCGAGTTGTAGCGTGGAGAGTCTCGAGAGTACGTGGAGTTCCGAGAACGACCGAGCAGAGTCGGGAGCTGTACTCTGGTGCTTTTCAGTAAAGCTATCTCCACCGTTATTGCCTGACAGTGTGGAGGCTTTGTCGCTGATTGTTCCAGCGCGTGTATAGTAGATCTTCTACAACTGTAAAACGTGATTTTGGAGCTGTCCTGACAATACTGGCTAATAAAGTATGTTTCGATACTTCACCAAGTGTCGTCGTTATTCACTCCAAATCCACACGAACCCCGTACGGACGTGAAGGAAGGAAACAACGTAACAACTGGTGTTAGGAAAAAAAAAAAGTAACAATATATATGTAAATTATAAAAAATAGGATGGCTTTGCTCTATGCGAACAAGCAACCTTTAATTAACTTTCTGCAATTTCAGGATCCTCCCCCTAGACCAGTACTTTCGAGAACGTTCCAGTCTATTACGTAACCGTTTCTATAAATAGAGAATTCGCGCTATTTGGCGTCCAGAAACTCTTATCTCCCTCTGCTGCTAAGATTCTGTGCTCCGCTTCTCATCTTTTTTCCCTTTGTTAGAATAGTTATGACGTCAAAAGCCTAGATTTCATCGTATTTAGTTTAAAACACTATTTGATATGTAATTAGGAGAATTTCATCTAAAAGAAAAATTATCAACCATTTGAATTGAATAAAAATGTGCAATCAAAAGCAAAATCCTTCTGTGTCATCATTCTGCTGTATTCCACTCAGCCAAACAACGCCTGCACTCTGATGCCAAACTTCGTCACTCATGTGCCCGACTGCCAAAGTATTACATATATATATAAATCAAAATTATTAGTTAAATTAGCAATAATTCTTATTTTCCCCCTCTCTGTTCTAAAAATCGTAATAACTTTTCTGGACTGCATCCTTTCTAGATCATCCATCTTGCATGGTTTTCGTAACTTTGATGACATACCTAATTCGGAACCTGAACTCAGAATTTCGAGAACTGAAACCTCTCTAACCTAAACTAAAACCTTCTCTTGATGAGCCTCTATAATGGATAACTGCGCACTTTAGCTTCAGCTCTCCTGCACCCAAGATGCTACTTCGCTCCCTTTGCTTTGCCTTGCTGGTAACTACGCCGTTATCTAAAATGTGATACTCTACATACTCTAATAAAATTATGGGCTAAGTATTACGCCCATGACCATATGTGATTGACATAGGCTTACTGTATTTTGTTTATTTCATAAGTCATTGCTTAATTCTAAGAAGCAATTCCTTACTAAAATCATTCTGAAAAATCATGATAATCAATTTGTTTTCCAAGCAAGATATTTTTTATTACATTACATAACATAGCTGCAAATATTTAATTAATATTAGCCTTTTAAAGTAATCAAATAAAAAAAAATTCTTGAATTGATTTTATTGCAAAAGCAATAAGCTGTATTTAGTTTCAAGGAAATAAAAAATATCTGCACTTTTAAGCTTTAAAGTCTCTATCGAATTAAAATACGTGAAATAAAAAATAAAATTCCTCTATTTGCATTACATATATTTGCCCAAAACCATATGAACACGTAAGTTATAATATAATAGTGGATAAACACATATGCATGTACAAGCATGTACATCGTTAATCAGACTTTTCCTACATATGGGGGATGGGCTATGCTTCCAGTTAATCCAGAAACACTGTACTATTTCACAATGTTCCACGGCAAAATTATTGATAACTGCGAACCATTATTATGTTAGCTTTATGAAAATATCAAAATCCTATTTTTATTTTGAACTTAATTCTCTTAAAGAATTATTATTTTGCATTCGTTTCTTAATTTCGATCAGTGCCTTACTTTATTTCATTTTACACTATTTTTTCATTTATTATTTATATACAAAAATGCCCAAATGCAGACGCAAAGATAGGCGCACATTTCAGATACCCTAACTATATATCACTGTTTCGGAGTCCAGGCATAACTGGCACATAAAAAGTCTCACGTCGGTAAGAGTGTTGAAAATATAGCAGTAAGTTATATAGTTGACATTATCCAATACAAGTGATTCCAAGCTTATAGTGCAATATAATTTATCCATAATAAGCACACCTTTTTGCTATGCTGTTACAATCCAAACTTTTTAGGTTTTGAATAATGAACGACTTAGCCTTTGTCTAAGCAGCCACATAGTGACTTCTATATGACTTTGCAAGTGAAGGAGTTGACCTGATTGTCTTTCAGGTATTCATATCTAGCATTATTAAAGAAGATACTACAGATTCATCCGAATTCGACATAATTATGGATGACTTTAGATGGAATATGCATTTGAAAACAGACGGAAGCATATTGTTGTTTGCGTACAGATTCGTAACAGATTAAAAGCACACAGAATTGATGACAGCTTGATTTAATTTACCCAAAAGAAACACTTCACAGTTCTGGAACTTCCCACAAAAATACTTCTACAATTTTACAACTCTCTACAGTAACATACAGTACAATCAGTAGTTACACTTCAAACTGTTAAACACAAAGCAATGCAAACAGCATCTAAAAAGCGAAGCTAACCAGGAGATATTTCAGTACTTTCGAACTCACCCTCAACTAACAACTGACAGCAGATGCTGTCTCCGATCTTATATAGTTTTCACCTGGCCGCCGAGATATTTCCAATACTTTCTGCTTCTCGAAATTACTGGAAGGCATGTGACGGCCGAATATGGTTACACTTGCACGGAGCATCAATTACAGTTATTCATTTACAATATCCATTGCAGTTATACAGAGATCGGACCAAAATATCGCCAAATGATCATCAGCTCTAGGGATTTCTGACAATTTCTCGCCAAATTATTAATTAAAAAATTAGTCGCCAAAACCCTTGCAATCTTGGCGATATCTAGTCAGATTAGCGAAAAAGCCATTTATTTACTCAGTGTTAAATAGACTTGCCCCTGTATTCTTATTTTTCCAGAAAAGCATCGTTTCTCAAGTGTTTCATGTTACATAATACTGCAAAAAACAACAATTTCACTGTACAAAACATGCAATAATGTACAAAATTCGTAACAAAATCGTACAAATTAACAAGATGACGGAGCTGTCTATCTTCTAGTTAATATGTTATCTAGTTATCTTGGTTCCTGGAAGATTTCATTGTGTGTAGTAGTGTTATAGACAAATAGTCTTGAATTTAAATTGCCTAGATTTTTCATTTCTACTAATTATTATTTTATTGTTATTTTAATTGAAAGGGAATTTATTCAGGAAAATATTTTAAAGGGAAAATGAAAATAACTTTTTAGTTTCCCATGATATTTTAACCAAAAAATTCATTTGCGATTTTTTTATAGCTGAAAACCGTTAAATTTTCGTATTAGATATTCAATAAAAATTCATTCTTTGACATATTGTTAAATGAGTGCTTCACTTTCTGAAATAAGTTGAAATCTGCGTGCCTCTAAAACTGTTTAAAGATAAAGAAGTTTTAATGAATGTTGGTGAATTTATTCTTGAAGTTTCCAAGAAAACATTTTTAGTGTGGTAAGTCCTCATTTATTCAATGTATTCGATGCCAAAATATTTTGTTCTTTGAATGTTTTAACGCTGTACCTGATCCTGTCAAATGTAAGAAAACTCACCAGCGGGTGAGCGGTAAAGTTACTGTACGCTGGTAGTTTGGTTCTAGGCTCGGCGAACGGGCTGGCTTCATAAACTTTTTGCGCGTTATTTTCCAGGCGTATACGAGCAAGTTTCGCTTAGGAAGTCCTCCACGAAGGCATCCCTCTCGTTCGGCAGATAACCCTCCAGTGCTTTTCAGAATGCTAATCAGAATAAACTAATAAACCAATTGTAAGAAAATTTACGAAATGTACATTAAATTGGAAAAAAAAAATAAGCAAAAAATTGCTTCATAATGAAAATTTTGCATTACAACATATTTTTATATTTAAATTTCATTAAAAATAAAATCGCGGTATAAAGACTAATAGAAGTTGTTTAATTAGACAAAACCACCATTAATAATTAGTTAAAGAAAAAAAATTACTTGTGAGAGAAATATTTGAAAACAAAACTCTGTGAATGTGGCACTGTTACGTTAACCACTGTAACATCGCAACTTTCAATAAATAGCGGAACTTAAATAGCATGTTGCGAGTCATGTTACAGTAGGAATGATGCATGTTACTCAGAAATTTAGTCTCTACATTTTTCTTCCTTACTTCTGAGAGATTCGCATTAAGCCTTCATGAAATATATTCAGTTTAAAGTATTAAAAATCGTCAATTAATCCTTTATTATCAATTATAATTACATGGCATAATTCCATTCACCCAAGACTGCTCCCATCCCTTTTATTACTCTAATTCTAGTATTACGCACATAGCTCGAGCTGCAGCAGAAGCTGCAGTAGAAAGTTTTTACTTTATTACAACAACAACAACAAAAAAAAAAAAAAAAAAAAAAAAAAAAACATAATAAGAGGAAACACTTGTGCAAACAATTCACCGCTTCGAACTTAAATATTTTCATTCAATGCATTATTAGAATCACCCAACTTTTGAAAAAAATTCAGCAACATCACTTGCTCAACAGTGACAGCGCAACTGAGTAAACATTACGGGACTAATATTTCCTCCTTTTGAAAAGCACCTTACTGTTAAAAGAAAACTGACAATGTGTGTAATTCGCAAACAGCTCTTTTTTTTTTTTTTTTCCTTTGGGATACGCACCGTTGGCTTTCCTCCAAGTGACATCAGGAGTTGGATATCCGAACGTAGCACAGGTCAGTGTGACTGCCTCTCCCACTGATGTGGAGATGTCCGTCGGTTCCCTTACCCATTTCGGTGGACCTGTAATGAAAATCAACGCACGGTTAGTCATGGTTGAAAGGCCTATCCCATTAGCCGCGAGTTACCTCGCGTTGTTACTTACTACGCATACAACTAATGAACAAACACAAATGAATCAACAGCGTTATTATTCATGAACTGGTGTTGTCCCCCCAAAAAAAATGGCAATTCTGATATATTTAATTGTTTCATTAGCTTGAAAGCATAGCGGAGTCCAGGGACACTCATGTTAGTGGAGGCATCAGGATTTTTCCCATGCAGTAGTAGTAAATTGTTCAGATCGTAATTTTTTTTAAATTTTTTTTTTTATTTCTGAGAACATTAATGGCGCTTTATCGGTATACCATGCACTAGTAATTTGATAAGAATCGAAATGATGTAAAGCTGTTAGTGGATAAGTAAAAAGAGTTTGCTCATTAATATTATTTAGCTAAAAATTATAAGTGGTCGATCCGAGGTATTTAATAGTTTCATTATGCTGAAAGGTGCAGCACTTTTGTTGTAAGCATGTAAGAGAGAACTACTGTTGCAAAAGGGGAGATTAAACAAATCATATTGGTTACTAACATCTAACAAACATAAAATAAACATTTGGCATCTACACAAATCATAGCGTGGCAAAATGCAGTACGTGTTTTATACAAGCAGATAACTCTCACATTATTCAGGAAACATATTTGGAATGCTTTACATTTTGCTACATCATTTCCTTTCCTACCAGCAAGGAAACAGAAATACATAAAGAAAAATATCTCGAAATATTTTTTAAGTAAACAAAAGATGAAAACATTTCACCGCAATTACTAACCTTTTTTCTCGTACCACTTTTAACCCATGATTTAGAAATTTTTTTTTGTTCGCATAGTTTTCTTCTTACAGAAATAACCGGTTTCAGGAATTTATGATAAGAATTCTCGTGTGCATTTCAAGGCCTTTTATTTATGTTCTAAGACAATTCCTTCTAAGACATTCACATTCATTCTCTTCCTCTGCCATGACTAACTAATGTTAGTCTATAAATACGAAGCTTCAAACTGCGTAAATTGGGCACTTACGCAAAAATTAGTCCTAAGTTGTTATAGAGTGTTAGATGTTAATAAACAATGGAATAATAACGTATTCTATATTAAAGTAGCTGAAGAAAATCTTCGGTGAACGAGAAAGAAACGGAGAGGAGAGAAAAAATAAAAACGCTGTAGAGATTTGGCCTTCATGCTGTGTTCAGGAAAACGAAAGTATAAAATGCTGTTACTAAAATTAAAAATCTAACTAAAATTGATAAATTTTGGTGAACAAAAAAGGTTACTGAAAAAATATCTTATTATTCATTTTATTTTGTTTATTTGAATAGCATGCTCTGTTTACATATTTTAGCAAATACAGCATTTTTTCTTCTGGAAAAGAGAATTTGTATTAGTTTCAGCTTCGAAATACAGTGTTTTTTATGCATCTCAAATTCACCTAATATTTAATTTTGAATAATTTTAAAATTCTGATTTTCGTACTTCTCTTCAAGACATTCCCTTATTAATTCTACCTTATTTTTTCTCTCATCCGTTATTGAAATTCTTCAGACGAAAACTACCTGTATTTTTTATTAAGATCAAATGGTCTTACGATCATTTACTGAATCTTTAAATTCTTTTCGTTTTAATTTGGCGTGCGAAAAGGAATCACTTGCAAGAAATCAATTAAATGAAGTGAGTTGTACAAAACATTTGTACGGAAAAACTTTATTATATATATATATATATATATATATATAAAAAAAAATCTGAAATGTTTCAGATTTTAAATTACGTCCAAAGGGGCGTTTTTTTAACGTTACCTTTATTTTAAATATCATGTTCTTTGCACTTAAACCATAAAATTCAGTTCAAGAGCAATATCGCAAAATAATGTTAAATTAAGCATATCTTTAGAATTTCCGATATACACAGTCTCGCGAGCTGGAGATAAAAGTATTTTTTTTCTATATAACGTTGCCATTTCTTTTTTTTCCTTTTTTTCGCTTTTAAAGCATTGAGTTTGTAAATCAAAAATTCGTTAAAGTTTTACAAAATATAAAATCTATAATAAAACAAATTCCAAATTTGGGATTTCAGATGCCCATATTCGCAGTAGGATTTCGTCATTCAAAACTCGATGGCTCTATGTACCATTGTTTTATTACAATGCGAGAAATAGACAATCATTTATGCAGATTTTTCATTATTTAATTTCTTCAAATATAATGCAGGACTCTAACATTTTGTGGCAACAGTTTGAAAAGTGAACCGACATTTATAAGTCCGACGCAAAATCGCAAAACGAAAACAATAGTCCTTCAGGGACAAAGCCCCTTTGGACTAATAAAAAACCGATAAAAAAGTTTTGTTATTATAATTTGAATTATTTTCTTAAAAGAATTAGTGACATTTTATTTTATTTTACATTGTAATCATTTGGCATCTACACAATGACTGTGACAGCCTTGAACATCATTCAGGTGACAGATCGATTTTGCTCAGTTTCGCCCTGATGTTGAAGGACAGGAGCGCTGGTATAGGTCTGACAGCCCCACCCTTTTTTCTCTACCAACAACCTCTCGACAGGACTTTCTGCTTGCCGCATATTTTAAGTGTTCCCTGCTGCACAGACTTTGTATGTTTACAAACATTCATGCCTTCTTCGGGATTTGAAAGCAGGCCCTTCGACGCGGGAGACAACATCACTAACCGCTTTCCCGTATAGGTTCAAAAATCATGATATTTAACAAATAACTGCATTTTCTCGCGTCAGATATTTTTTTCTATAATATTTTACGCATCAAGGGTAGCCCCACTAACAAATCCTTTGTAGAGCTGAAAAATATGGATGTAAGATAAACTATATTTTTTAATAATTTCCTAAATGTTTAAAACACTTAAGTATTAAAGGTTTTTTTTTAACTTATTCGCTTTAAGATATTTTTTTTTAAATGTGGCAAAATAGTTGATGTAATCCATTAACGATAACAGATAACTAATATTGTATTCTTAATAATATTGTATACCTGGGCAAAGATTTCAAAATGGGGAGTTTCAAACAATGCACTGAAATAATTTTTTGACACTAAAATTTAAATTTACTTTTTTGTAACAAGGCAATGGAAAAGCAAAATGTTAAACAAATTGGATAAACTTTTTTTTTCGAAATTATTTATGTAAGATTATTTTTTTCGCCGTTTCGGTTAAACTGGATTTCAGTTAAGCGAGTTTTTATCGTAGTTGGAAACAAACAAACACAATTCAGTTAGTGTGAAATCTTGAATGTAAGGCTTCTCATTTTTGTTGCCGAGTGCTCTCTTCTAATTAATTTACTGAAACCTTGTGATCTCCATTTCTTCTTGTTCAAACTGCAGCTACAGCTTGTGTATGCTAAAGCAAAGTAGACCATGATTGAACCTTTTTAGTACGCATATAGAATTATAATTCGCTTGTATAATAGCAATACTATAAATTACACATGTACTGAAACAGAATATGACATGAGACGAGAATTATCTTTTTAATAATTTTATACGTCTGGGTTTTTGGAAATCTGTTGTAACGAATACTTAAAAAAAAGTACGTATCTTTGAAACAAACAGCTGACGAGTTGGAAAATGAAATGCATATCTCTGAAACTTCTAACATTTTATGAAACAATCCGTAGCCAAAAAAGGAAATGAATCATAATTAGAAGAATGGAGTGTCTAACTAAAGTAAAATGTCGACAAGGAAAAAAAACCATAGAAATGAAAAACATTGATAATTAAGTTTATATAAATATCAGGGTTTTTGAAATCAAAATGCACATATAGACTCAATTTTTAGTTAAATTCAAAAATGCCTCTCTAAATTGAGATGAATAAACTTGTTAAAAAACATTCGAAAATATTAGAGTAAAACGGAAACTTCCACGACCCAGGATCGAATCCTGTTTAATGCGCTCAAATTTAAGTGGCTTTTTTATGGCTTTTGCTGATGATAACGTGAATACGAGCCGATTTTCCTTAAACAATTCTCCATGAATATAATTTTTCACTAAGCCAGATAACATTCCCATACATTTTGACTTAATTGATAAGACAAACGAAAAACAACCTGTTAAAGATATGTATATTTTATATTATTGCTCTTGGAAGAGTTTCATATTACTGCACTTCGAACAATATTTTTGCATCTTTAAAAAAGGAGTACACATGTCAGAATACTAGAAATGCATAAAGCGTTTTTGGACAGCTTAGGTTAATTTAAAATCCAGTTTTATTAAATTTTAAGCCTAAATTATTCTGCTGCCTGGAAAAGTCATGTCACATCCATGAAATCATTGAGTTTGGAGGTTAAAGGGCATTAGCGCATTACAGCACTTTTCGGCCTTCGACACGACGTTGCGTTTTGAACTAAGTGCATTTGAATGTAGAAGCTTCCATTTCTTCGATCTTTACGTGCGACAGCCACGTTATTTATCAGATTTCTTATCCTATCATCCTGTTGTTCTTCTTTCTTCAAGATCAACAGACAATTCAAGCTGTCGAAAACGACAGATACCTAAATATGTACCCGCCCAAAACTTCCAGGAATGTCAGAAGCTCTGAAGCAAGTGTGTGTGCTTCATTAGATGTCTATTCAAAAAGTGATTAGGTAATAATTTTTTTGCATTTCAAAAAGAAATGCGTTATAAACTCTTTTTGGGAACTTTTTGAACATAAGAATATTTTGTTAGTTCACTTTGCCTAACATAAAAATAACGTAATCTTTAAATTCAAACCATGTCGAACTTAAGTGTTTAGGAAACATATCGTAGCAGAGATAATGAAAGATAATAAAAGATTTATCATCGAATTTCAAAAAATATTTATATGAATTTTTTGCACCCATTTGTCAAGTTTAATATCGCTACTATTAACAATAAATGAGGAAGTGCATTTATTATTAAAACTTATGTTCCACAAAGGAACCTTTCAGGAACCTACTCACAAATACTTTTTTTAAGCG